TGAACAATCCCTCAGTGATAGTGATCATTACCACTTAAAGCAAAGCTCATAAACTTCGGTTTTGACAGGACTTTCTGAGGCCAGCTGTATTAGACTCTCATCTAAAGATATTCATCAAGCGATGCAGGTGCCTGAAGATACACTGCCATGCAACCCAGTGCCTAATTATTGTGCAAAAAGATGGCAAATAAGAGGCAGCACAGCATTCAATATGCCTCATTCTGCCATTTCATGATGCTTGTTTACTAAAGGGTTTTGTGCATCATAAGGAAACCAGCAGGTGGCTGAGGAAACTACACAAATGTTTCTGGCATTCTGCAGTGGAATCATTTTTGTTCACTTCTAAATGAATGATGACTGATTCACACCCCAGAGTAAATCTGCACATTTCCAACATTTACCCCCACAATTTGTCTGTTACAGTCTGTTGAATCTTTCATGTGTGCAAAGTATATATTAAGTCTTTAGTAATCCATTTTCAAAAAGCCTCTATTGCATTATTTTTCGCAAGAAATAAACAAGAACATTGTAGGGTGATATCAGATAAGAAATTTCCAAGAGATAATGGCTGTACTTGCTGTGTTCCTTTTCTTGATACGGGAATTTAAAGAGCCATTTCTGCCACTTTTAACAATCAACTCTGGTTACATTTACATACATGTTTTCCCATAAGAGAACTAAAGCACAGGTCTGAAAATACTCTTTGCAGGTACTTACAAGTTGCCAATTCAAGGGGACGGTTTTTCCAAGAGTTGAAAGAGATACCATCTCGGAAACAGTACATGTTTTGCATTGTATAAAAGAAAATGTGCCTTAGGGTGGTTGCAGTTGATGGGCAGTGGTTGTTTTTTGTCTTTTCAGCCTTATCAGCTCATTACAGCCTTCGTTAGACATTGGAAATCCTCAGCAAATAGTTCCTCTTTCCGGAACACTAAATTACTTTCCGTAACACTTCCTTTTTAATGCCAATTGTCCCGAAGCAGAACTCAGAGGATGTCTCTGATAGGCTTGCCCTTTACCGGAGAACATCTCTAAGCAAATGGTCCAACAGGAAACACTGGAGAAAAGCAGTTAAGAAATAATTATTCAAATTAAAGTGTTTCACAATTTGCTATCATAAAAATTTAGATATTTCCTATCTGATTGCCTAGATAATATATAGACAATAGGACCCTTCACACAAATCAGTAGTTGATAGGATGGAAAGAGTTGTTCACAATAGATATTAAGAATAGACTTGTTAACAACATATTATAAGATTTCTTCAACAACTTTTACCCTTTTGATCTAATCAAACATGAATCTTTCTTTATTTTAAGCAATTAATTTTTATGTTGTGCAGTCCTGAAATGTCCTCAAAACACCAGTGTTGTAAAATTAAAAGGAAAAACAACTAAATATACATTCGAATAGCTTTACCTTTTAATTCTGGCCATAAAAGGCTAACTAAAGCAATAAAAGAATATTACAATTTAGAACATATTTTTACAGACTGATGTAATGATTAGCTGCTCCTGATAAAACAGAACACAAATCATGGCACCTTCTTCTTAAAGGTCTTTATTCTAAAACGATTGATTTCTTGAATGAAAATAAATAAAACCTGATGAAAGGATGAAATAAAACCTATTCAAGAATAAATTTTCGTTGGCTTTGTCATACCATGACAAATGACAGCCATAGAGTTAAATGTATATATTTTCCACTGAATGTGATATGTTAATATTACAGTAAGTAGAAATGATAATGTTACAGATTCTGTTCTTTTTTTTTGCTTGTTTGTTTTTTTTTTGGCCGCATCTTTAGGGTTGTCCTTCTATGGGAGGTAAACCTACACCATTGTGTGAATTATTTTGCAACCTCAAGCAGGTTTCTTCCAGGACTTCCTTATATTTTTTTTTGCATCCATCGCCTCTTTGTCTCCAACAGCCTTCCTGTCCCTTCTTAATCAAATGATTCCCCCACCATGATGCTGCCAACCTAGTGATTTTTCACCGATTATTTCCATGAAACTTTGTATTTAACATCTATTACAAAAAGATTACCTTTAGTACAGTATCATCTGAACAGAGAAAAATTATCAGCATAAGATTTGTTAGAGAAAGATTTCATTAGAACAACGATTCATTCAAATCTCTTCAGTGGACAAAGTCTCTCAACTAAGCAGTGGCTCTCTAGCTCCTCCAATGTTACAAGAAGAATCTTGGCTGTTTCTATAAATGTAGCTCCATATTTAATAATAATTAACCTTTTATTTTGAGTTGATAGACAAAGCAGTATTCAATGAGATAATTATGCTAGAATATTATGTTAGTCTATAACTTATCCCAGATTAAAAGTTCTCCACACCGTCATGTACTGACCTGTCTAGTATTTTCCATGGATTTTGTGATGCAGTGTGCTCATTTTCATGGTCTCCAATAGCTAATATAGAACTGCGGACTTAAAGGGACAGCTGCGTTTATGCTGCAACTAAGACAAGCCTCACAAACCTTTGGACTCTATTTATTAATTACGTATATTCAGAAAGTGAATGGTTGAACTGGAGAGGTTCTTTAGAGATCAATAAATGGGGTACAATAAATGCTGGACTCACTTTTTAGACTTCCATTAGTAAAACATTTTGAGAACAATATATCTGTGTCTATGTCCTAAAAACTATGCATCGCCTTTTGTTGGAGTAACGCATAAAATCCTAAATAATCTATTTTTTTCTGCTGTAAAATAAAAAAATGGTAAATGCAGGTTTACTAAAGTGAAAATGAAATGTCACTTCTTCATTATATTTTTGCCAAATAAAGTGTTTGTTTCATTTATTTTTTTGCTTGTGTTGCTGCTTCACTGATCCATCCTTTCAGCATAAACCAAGAAGCATTACAGTACTTCATTATTCCTTTTAACAAAACAGCTAAGTATCATATGTGACACTTGCAACTGAGGTGGCAGCTCTGCTTTTGTAAAATGGCACACAGTATTCAAGGCACAATAAGTATTTATGGTTGACAAGAACTGTGCCACTAAATTAGACCATGCTGTTGTACCATATGTTTCACAGCTTTGTCTACAAACCCTGCTTGGTCCTTTTGATTACAGTTTTGTGCACTGTTAACCAAACACCCTGCGCTTCACTGATATGTTTTCGGCCTTGGTAAATTCCTTACAATGATACTCTAGTGTGATAAATGTATTAACAGATTCAAGATATGTTTATCAGTTTTATTGGGCCAACTGTATTATAGAAGATCAGAACTGACGAGAGAAGAGAAACGTGCGCACACATGAATAGCCTTTCTTTGTAACCATCCTTGATACATTTAATGCGTATGTTAAAGTTATAAAGCCTGTCAACTTATATCCAACCTGTATCCATCAATCCATTCAGAGACTTGTGTAAAACTGTAATCCACACTGCCATTACCATTTTAGACAGGTTAGTCAAATTTCCAAAACCGCTGCCCCCCCAGGATATCTGCCTCTCTCAAACAGTAATTTATCGAACAGGACAACCTCGTCTCTTCTGCTTCTCATGGTCATGAGCCTCTGTAATTCTCTCTCAGTATCCTCAGCACGATCTGGTTCTCTCTCCTCCACAAAAGAGCCAAGCCAAGGCAGCTTGCATACAAAACAGCTGACTCAATCATCCAGCTGTATAATCAAGATAAGGGAGACGGGGACAGGAAAAGGGAGATGTGGAAGGCAAATGCGGGAGACATCTTTAGCAGCAACAGCAAAACAGAGATGATTCAGAACTGTCACAACTCTCAACATCAAAAGTTGGAATATACACTCTACTGGTAAAGCCTAAACTGAAGCGTATCCTTTCTAAAAAAAAATTAATGAATTAAAGATGATGGCACTGGATAAACATAAACAATCACAATTCATACTATATTGATTTATTATGTTTAAAGCCATTCTATATATTTGATTATCAAAATAAATAATGTTAAATATCACCAAATAGAAAAATTAATGATTAGAAATATATACATTTTGATTTGTGCAACCAGAGGACTACAATGGTGTTTCTAGACCACAGACCCTTACTGATGCCCCCTCTGACTCTCAGTAAGTCGTAAGTAAATAGGTTGACCAGCATGTTGAAAATATGTAAACATTAATTATGTGTTGAGTTAGAGAAAAAGAAGCCACTTTGCGTGAAGACTTATGCTGCTAAATTGAAACGACTCATCCAGGGTACAACATTAAGTACGCTTTCTTCAGACAGATGGCACACACGCAGCAAAATCCTCAGCTTATCTGAGTGAGACTACACAAAGCAACTCTGAACACTGGGCAGTTATACTGCATGGCATTGAATGACATTGTTTCAAATGATCTTTTTAAGTTTCATTAATTTGTTTGCATGGACATCTCTTAAGTATGTCCATTTTAAATGCAGATTCGTGTTGTTTTATATGTGTGGGCCTAGCAACACAGAGGCATTCATGTCCTAAATAATAATTAAAGGGAAAGTTTGTAAACAGCTCGCACTAACTGATATGGGTTTGTTGAAGCGGAGCTGTCCGTGGTGCTGAATCGGCTCAAGCTGCGGGTTTACAGTTTCTAAGCATCCGATAAAACTGAGCTAAAAATAAAACCAACGCAAAATCGAGTCTAGTTTAAAAGAAGCAACAATTTGGAAAAATGCCGGATTAATAAAAGTAAATCTTTCTGGATCGAATCGCGCGATTAAGTGTTCTATGTGCTTTGCTTTCATCCATCTTATGTCAGGGCGCATGGCTCTCACTGAAACTAATGTAAAATCCATCGGCTTCAGCAGGCTGCTGCTCAAGTTGAACTATTAATTTTTAAAAGAGGTATGCAAGACTTAGTAATTGCACAGTGACATGGCTAAACCATTTCAGCCAACAGTTATTCCAATCACAACATTGGAGCTTGGAGATCTATCGATGACAACATGATAAAGCAAAATAAAACACAACAAACCTTTTGCAAAGTCTGTTACGTTAAAGTTAGGCATAAAAAAATGAACTTACCTGCTGAGTGATAGCAGAACAGGAACCTTCGTCCCGACACTAAACGGAGTATCACTGTATCTCACATCGAATACAATACAATTTCAAAGGATGCGGATACATTAATGGCGTTAAAGATTAAAAGCAATTATTTAAAGTAACTAATGAAATAAAAAGATTCCAGATTTGAGGATCACTCAGCAGCGAGCATCTGTGAAGCGAGCCTCAGAGATCCATTAAGCGGAGACTGATTTAATTCAGCACTGAGCTCCTCTCGTCGCTCGCCTTCATGTTATTCTGAAGAGACCTAGAGCCCTGCCTGGGTCTTTCTATTACACCGAGAGCTGACACCGGCGTTTAACCGCTGTCACGGGGAGGCGTGTAGGTAGGCAGATATTACAGTATCAGTTGGGGAAACATCGAGGAATAGGTGCGAAGGGAGGGGAGCGCGTGTTGATCCTTCAGACTGGCAGAGGCAAAGTTTAAATCTCATAATAAGATTGTTTGTCACCGCGAGGCTATAAATGGTTGCAGGTCGAAGACGAATGCCGGGAGGGTTACAGCAACAAGCCCCATACCACTCAACGTGAAACAACGCGTTTTATATTTAATTTTGGTTTAAAGCAAAAAAATAAATAAAAAAGAACAATTTTAAGTTGCAGGGGATATAGTTATGCGCCACTGCTTTGAAGCTCTAACTGCTTTGTGTTACACATGAGCAAACTTTTCTCCTCGCTGGAAAGAGTTTCAAACTGTCCAATTTCACAGACTGATTGGGGTTTGTGTTCCGTTTAGTGTCTAAGGGAGTGATAATTATCTTCCCTAAGAAAGAGAAAAAAAAAGAGTACCGATGCAACCGGCAGGGGGCTCATTTAAAACAAAACCCTTTTAATACGATCATTCATTGCTATTTAACAATGGTATTTTTCAAAAAATAAAATAAACAAATGAAGTGGAAGTGTGTGAGAATGTGGGCTCCACTAATACAATCAGGGGCCCTATTTAGGTATATATTGCTACATAACCTGATGTAATTCTTCTTCTTTTCCAACTCTGAGCCTCAGGGACATGCCAGCATCACAGAGATGCTGCACCACCTACAACCACATTATATTCAGAGTCATGTACATATATTTTCTTTACTACTTTGATCCTTGGTTTTGATGTCTCCAAGTCATCTTTATGAATAGGAATTTATTTCAGACAATTTCAGACAGACAGTTTGACAAACAACAGTATATGAATCAACCAAATACACACAGAAAAGACTAGTTGATATCAACCAAACAAACGCCAAAATTCCAAACTAACAAAATTAACCTGCACATAAATAGAGACAAAACACTCCACCAAATAAACCTGTCAGTATATACAGCCAGAGAAGTGACATCGATTAATGGAAACTGTCTGAAAAGGAATATAAAGAAGTAAAACCTTTTTTTTTTCATACCCCCTTTCCCTCTAATTGCACTTAAATCAACTTAAATTTGAGTAACCTTCCTGTTAAACTTGTTTTTTTCCCAATATTGACACACACTATGTATATATATACTACATACATGTAAACAAACATACAACATACCTACACAGACAAATCTGAAATTTACACCCTTGTACATCAGCAACCTTCCCAACCTTTTGTAAACACTTTACTAAATGTATAATCGAGCCAAGTTTTAGTAGTAATGTGAACAATCGATTGAGTAAACAGTTGAACGTCATACAAAAGTCTTTAGGTTTTTCAATTATAACAACAAAGAGTGCAGTAGCCTAGAGTCTTATTTGACTACACCTTTTAACTACAGCTATAAACCTTAAGATTGTCTGTTACAGACTTCCACCAAGCAGCACAAAGGTACATAAAAACACAAACTGGACCCTTCAGATTGATGAAAACATAATTTAAAATGCTACAGGTTTAGAAGTGAGAGGTAAAATGGTGGAGAAGCGAGAAAAACACTGAAATAACCCTCACTTCAAAGAGAGGTCAAACCTTGACCCCTGAGATAGAAAATCAATAGTAATCTTTTGATAAATTATTTAACACACATATCAAGAGTCAAATCTGTTAGAACTTGTATTGACAGAAAGCAACACAAAATGAAGCTTAGAAATATATTTAAGTTCCAAATAGTTTTATAAACAATGTGTGTCCACATTCTTACATTGTGTACACAAAGCTGAAAAGGAATGACGGCATCAGGTATACCTACGTATGTTTCATGGACAAAAATAGAAACAGAATAGATATCTGTCCTATGTGCACTTCAAGGGTTAATCTCAGACTGTGTGGCCCTGTGTTAATGCAGTCCCAGATTTAATTTATGGAGAGTGCAGCCTTATGTCCTCTATAATGACGTAGTCTGGGGGATGACCCAAGCAAGCCAGGAAGCAGCAGCCAGGATGCAGATGCTGCTCTCTGAGGGGAAGCAAGTGGATGCACAGGGACTCGGCACGTACAAGCCAGATTCCTCGTCTCCCTGCTGCAGTCACGTTGGTGCTGTGAAATGTAGAGATGGACGGCTTGGCCAAGAAAGTCTCAGCATTGCAGCTGCAGCTCAGAGAATGACAGATGCAATGTATCATCCTACCTAATGTCTTCACAACCAGGGCTATATGGAGTACTACAAACACTGCAGCCTCAAGGGCCATTGATATCACTGAACAACACCCTAAAGAGAAAAGAGAAGATTTAATGATTCTAGGACAAACAATTGCAGAATGGAGGAGCAAACTCTCATTTGAGTTAAGTTTCTATTAAATGTCACCATTTTAATTTATGTCTAACCCCCTGAGTATTATGATTAAAATCTGAGACATTTTTGTCAGTCCTGATTGCTGCGCCCTGTACTCCATACAATAGTTAAATTAAATTATGGCTAGTGTTCTTATACAAAATGTCTATAAGATTTCTTCAAAATGTATTACCCTATAAGGGCCGTGCAGCTTAAGTTGAAAAGAGACCAAGGAGCAGATTTATGGGTTGTAATAATTACTCCTCCCAGTTAAATTCACCTTGAAGACATAATTGCTCACACTTGTCATCTATATGGTTTGACTCCCTTCAGATATAAAAGTGTTTTCATGATTCAGCAAATAATTTATAATGCATAAACAAACATAAAGACATGTAGGGGACATTTTCATGTACATTAAAAGAGCTGTGTCTATCCACTGTTTAGTGACTTTAGTGACTTTCCATGTGCTTCCTCAAATAATTACAAAACTATAGGATAAAATTGTCTTAATTAGTAAAACTGAATATACAGAAACATTTTTGCTGCAAGATTTTTAGGATAAGAAATGTTTGTCCTTTGTAATTTGTATAATAGCTTCAGTTCAGAATTGTTGGGGAGCAGCTGAGAAAACACGTTTTTAAGTAAAGACACAGATCTTTTACTCAGTTTCAGATTTACTTTTAAATTATATATTTGATTGAAAAAAATATCCATACCACATGTGCTTTAATCTAAACCATAACTTTGGTTGTTTGTTTAGGGTCATTTTTCTACAAGTAGATGAATCCCCTCCCTGTTCAAGCTTGTACTGAAAAGATGTTTTTAAGATAATCTTATGACGTACCAATCCAAAAAGTATAACTCTCACATTTGGCAAATTTAGCAGGTTTCACTTAATAAAGTTGAAGGTTATACCTTGGACCATATTAATGCTAATAAAATCAAATTTACCTTTGACTGAATACAGCAAGATAGCATATTCTTAGAGAAACACAAACTATGCCCATTTAAGATTTAACATAACTGTCACTATATATCACGTTTTCCATCATTGGAGGACATATGTTTGTGCTTGATAGACTGATCGCGTGAAGCTTTACAATATATTGTTGGTTGCATGTTTCACTGTAGGCCTACTGGGCTTAAACGTGCCACCGGTTTAGAACAACCAGACAGAGTATTTCTGTTTCATCCTGAGGTAGGTTAAATTACTTTATGCTGAGGACGGATAATGTTTGGTAATGAAAAAAAGATTACAATGTCACTGAACAGAGTTCAGTGAGTTTAGGTGGAGATGAAAAAGGGTGGCCAAAATATTTAAATACTGAACTTGGATAAGCCAATTTGGTGCTGAGGCAAGTGACAGGGAGAGCAACATTTCAGGTTTCAGGGGAGGAGACGGCGACTGCTGGTTTGCATAATGGAATGTCAGATGTTGCCGAAGAGCAGGGAGGCCCATTTTAGAGGCTAAACGGTGGAACATATTGTAAAGAATCTGTAATGTATTATCCACTGTCACTGGCACTCCTGTCATAGATATGTAAAAAGCTTTGAAATGGATCTCTTTCTATAGCATGACCTTAAAAAGAACACTTAAAATCTTCAGGTTGAGTTCACTGATGAAAGAAATCTAACTCAAGGAAAGGAAATCCAAATGGTAAAATTGCAGGTATCTCTTACAATACTTTTAAAACAAATGTAACTTATGGACATTTTACGTTTTACTTCAGCTTTTAACATTTAATTTTTATGTATGAGTTTTTTTTTTTACTTTCCTGTGGTATGAATATACCCTTATTAAGAGGCAACTTTAGTCACCGGCCTACAGACTAGATGAGGACCTATGGTTATAGTATTAAGTGATGGTTCTAGATCAATTTTACCAGATGAACCAGGGTGGGAATAGTTGTTTTTAATGGGGCCATAAAACAATAGCATGTAACAAAAAAGAGCATAAGATAATCTTTTCATATATGGAGTAACCCCAGACATAGCAGATTAAAAAGTAGAGTTGTAAAGATTTATCAGATTCAATTTCCTTAATTTGAGAGATCTTTGATCTTAAGCAGCAACGTTATCTAACTCTGCTAAGGTATAATAAAATAATAATAATAATCAGCCACTCTCAGTGCTCTAAACATGTCATTTATATTTGAAGGTGTTATTTTGTGCAGTTAAAACAAAAGCTGCTTCACATATCTTTTTTTCTTCAATAAAAAGGTTAAAATATTAAAAGTGTTTTGAAATCCTATAAAAACTATCAAAAACAAAATATTGGTATTGTTCAAAATTGGAATTAGCATGTCAGGCTTTTTAAAGATCAGTTATCAGACAGAAAACTGCAATCAGTGCACCCAAAATGGTTATCCTGTCTCAATATAACTGGAGCTGAAAGTGCAAAAGTATGAAGATTTAGTACTAAGCCTCTAGTACAGGGGCAATTACAAGGGCCATAACAGGTTTTACAAGGACGCTGGCCCCTGTTGGCCTCTGTCTGGAACTTTCCATGATCTTATCATCTGGAAAGGGAACTTAGACC